AATGGGGTGTCTATCTCACTTCAATGGCCGAGGACTTGCACACCTCTGCTCACCTTTTGCCGGTGTCTGGACTGCTCTGGGAACGTTTCAAAGTCTTTTTCGTTTGGCCCCGCCCAGCTCTCCTCACGCTCCGCCCACAACGGGTGTGCCTCGTACTTCTCAACGGGTGATCCATCACTGACATTAATCCACTAGTTCCTGGTGTCTAGAGTGCTCTGGGTCGTTTTACGAATTGTCAAGTTCTGCTCCGCTCACGTCGCCGCAAGCTCCGCCCACAACGGTGTATCTCGCGCTTCTCAACGGGGACCACTTGGGGACCATAACTCACTTTTTCGCGTCGTCTTTGGGACCAAACTACGATTTTCTTAAATTAATACCTTACATTTGAAGTCACGCCCCTCCCACTGTGGGCGGGTCACAGCACACCTCAGATATGACGGACTCTCGCCAGATGTTTGTCTTCGCCATGGACTTTTTTGCAATCTCTAAACTCTCTCGGGACCGAGTTACCGACATTTGTGGGAAGCACCGCCCATCTCGAGTACGCCCCGCCTTTCGGGTGTGTCTCCTCCATTTGATGGGTCAACCCTTTGCCAACCTTAATCCACTTTTCTCCCATCTCGGGACTGCTCTGGAGCTGAATTATAAATTTTTCAGTGAGGCGCCGAGGCGCGATCGATCGCGGGAACGCGCGACCGAAGTGCCGTTGCGAAGAATGCTGCCTTTCTGACCGTGTACAACAAGGGCTTTTTCATGGGTTTTTGACCGTTTCACTTCGCTTTTTCGCCATTTTCCCGCTATATAGCACCCTGCTAGCATTTTAGACCGAGTAGCAAATTATCGTGTCATATGCCTTTGAACTACTGAAAATGAAAGCCGGTAGACGCTGGTGCAACAGCAATGACTACAGCTCAGAAACGAAACAAAACGGGAAGACCGCTCTGTGTCAGGATGAAGGAACACTTGGATGGAATGAAGAAGTCCAAGATATGCACTCCTCTCGGCGACCACAAGGCTCAAAAACATCAAAGTGTGGACATTGCGGTGAAAATCACGATCCTGGCACGTGAACAGGATGTTTCGGCCCGCAAGACACTTGAAGCCTTGCGGATCGCCACTAGGAACCTCAAATCAACAGGGAGGAAGAGTGCAATGCGATCATCAGAGAGCTAGTACCGTGCCCACTAGAACCTCTACCCGTCAAAAGGTTGGTGGCTTTCGACTTAGTTCTAAGATATCCTAGCCCGTAGTTTCTTACTGTAATTAGAAATGGTGCTTGAGTGAATTGTTTCGATGATAGGTTTCGACTTGCAGGCTCCGAAGAAGGCGATGTTCGCCGAAACGTTAGTCCAATAAAATATCTGTACAAATCTCGGGAGGCTGAAGAAACATTCTGAATTATTACGTCTCTGATGCCGAGATTGAAGGCACAGTCCGACGACAATTGCGGGAAACGGAACTCAAATAGGCACAAAAAAGTGCTAAGTATCTGATTAGCGGAGAAAAGCAGCAGTAAAAGCAGTCCGAAATGTTATAGAGAAAGATAACATAGTGGCTACTAGCTAGTAGCTAGCAGCCGGTGAGGGTCGGCATGGGCCTAAGGGGTGTCCATGGGCCTAATTAGTCAGCTTCTAGCGGAGTTCTTGCCGTTTTTCACATTTTGAAAGTAGCGCAGCCTCAAAAATCGCCTTCCGGATCGTCCGACACATTTGAGAGGTCATAGCCTTATTTTATCGCGGAATGTGCCTTTAATTGAAAGGCGTTCTGTGATATTCTAAGAACACAGCTCAATTTCATTCACTTTGGGAGTTTGCCACGTCGGCACATTGGCAAAGTTATTCTAAAAGGTTGAATATCCCCCTACTTCACGGCAACCCGTACTCACATGATGCGCAGACTTTATGAGTTTCATTAGAGAGGAACCTGACGAGCTAGTAAAATCCGCACCCCTCGACATCTTTCCATCGCAGTGACCGTCGGACAGGTACTGGCATCGGGAAGAATTTTTCCTACGTACGATCCACCTACCCCCTCCTTCCCTCCGCCTCCGTGTTCAGCAACCGATCAGTCTTCCTACCGTTTCTTCCCAACAATTTCCCAGTGAAACGAGGACGAGGGGGTAGAGACCTTCGATCAACAATCAGAAGTAGTAGCTTAGTAATCAGAAATAGTGACCAGAAGGGGCATAAAGGCGCGTGAAACGAGAGAAACCACAAATTAGGAAAAACTCTCTGGATCAAGTACGACCCCTCGCCTCCATGGAGATTGTACGGCCCACTTCAGGTTCACAACGCACGACCATCCCTGGTCCCCGTATGTGAAAGAGTGAGATCGCGAAATTGCCCAAACACTCGAAATCAACGGCGATTTTATCTTGAAAAAACAAAAAGAAAACCTTCTTCGAAGAGAAAGCTCGCGATTATATATTGTGGATAGTGGCTTCAATTAGGAACCTGTAGGCGCTAAGTGATCCTCCAGGAAAGGAAAAAGCAGGACAATCATTGAACACACTCTAAGTGAAGACCCAGCAGCATCACTGCAGGAGTTCTACAGATCTGCTCGTTTTATGCCAGCAAAGCGATATTCTGCCACCGGTTGCACAATAATCGTTTCTTCGCGCCATCCAATGCTAATAGTATCTGACAGTGAAAAAAAAACGAACAACGCGTGGAAACACTGAGCTCGTGATAGAAGATGGCCCTTGAATTCGAATTCAGTTGGGCGCGGCAACTAGGGAGGCCTCAGAACTGCTACTTACAAATGAGGGCAGCAGCGCCTTCGTCACTTCCTGTAAAGCAGCGAAAGTGAGGTAACCTAAGGCTGCGTTTATACTTTGCGGCAGCGTAGCGTAGCGCTTCCAGCGTACGCCAGCGGCAGTGTCGGGGAAAGGATAGATATCGATCTAGCGGTTCACAGCGTTCGATGGGGATTCCCTATGGGGGGGGTCGTATTTGGCCGCCAAAAAGGGGGGTCGTATTTGGTTGGGAAAAATTTATTTTTATAGTTGATTTTTCTCGCTTTGCGGACGTTTTGGAGGGGGGGGTCGTATTTGGTCGTTGTTGGGAGGGGGGGTCGTATTTCTGGCCAGGAGTTTGAATGACCGGCGACAGCCACAGTCCAGCATGCATGTCAAGATCGTAGAGCATGAGGGGGGGGGGTCGTACCAGCCCCTGAAAAAAAGGGGGGTCATAAAAGCTCGACCGAAATCCTCATCGAATGCTGTGTCCTGGCTAAGCTACGCTGCCGGCAAAGTATAAACGCAGCCAAGAGACTAAGGACCAGACTACTTGTACAAGGAAGGAGCCTACGATTTGCTTGACCGTGGGGACTGTCTCTAATAAAGTCACCACCATTCTAAAATTTCTTTCAAGTTGTTCCAGGGTCCTCTCCAACCTAACACAACCCATTAAACCTGCTAAAGGTTGTTTCTTTGATCAACGCTTCACACAGGAGCTATACTCATATGTTTCTTCTAATCCGTGGAGGAATGACACTTTGATCCGGACCACAAACGAGTTCTGCTAAGTATCTAGGTTTCTTGCACGTCATTACACAGGTGGTTTAACCAGGTAGACAAGGTCGATCACTCGTGGATTGGTGTTTTTTCGGATGAACGTGTGCAAATATTTGGGTAACTTCCTGCTTCAGGGGATTATCCGTTGTGGAATGCACGGAAAACGAGGACCGCGCACGCGGAAACAAATCTGAGGGAAATGACTGCGCTAAACCGAAACTTTCTATCGAATGCATCAAAACGAAAATTACCAGAATACAAATCATCGAAGGAATTCCTAATATAGAAGAAAAGTACCAAGTTTTTTCTCAAAACCCTACATTCTTCTCGATTTTCACAACCAGTTCGCCGTTCTCATCTCGTCCAAAGGTTCGTCTTTCGGTGTGTTCTTGACTGGAATATTGTCGTTGGGGCTGAAAGTAAAGGGTTTAGCTGAGCATCCCGACTACATCGAACCCAAGACACATTCTCCATTTCACAACCATTGAATCTATGTTCAGATGAGAGCTTAGAGGTACTAACTGAAGTATTGTCGAAGACGCTCTTAATAAAGTCATTAGCATCAGATGACACACTTCAGGCTAAAGAACAAAAACGAAGCAGGAGAGATTAGGAAGACAAACTGGAAGACAAGCGGAATGAAGAAGGTAGGTGCTACCCTGAGAACAGTGTTTCGTATCTGCGTTCATGAGTATAGGACTGTTGGCATATGGGTCCCCAGATGGATGAAGCAACTTCCACAGGAGTTCCGGCGGTCCACACTCAGCGTTGAGCCACTAATTTGGGATAACGTTTACGAATGCGAACCATATAACTTGGGCATGAAGGAGATTCCACCCAACAGGTAATCAAGAAATGTGTTTTCAAGTAAAGCAATAACAAGTCAAAATCAGAAAAAAAAGGCAAGAAAATCAGATTCGAGGTCTTTTGCCTTGATAAAAAAAGTAGTTATCGTTTACATACAGTCTTGTTCGTTGTGGATGTTGGGGCGTGTTGAGACGGCCGGGTTTAGGGCGGACAGTCCGTTTTCCACCAATTCTGGTTGCTTGCCAGCTTTCATACCTGGTGAACTTGGGTTGCCCCGTGTCAGATCCGATCCCCCTGACACACTACAGCACACGCAGCGAACAAGGCTGCATACACGAGAAAACAATGCCTTATCTCGGCCTTGCAGATAGCATTGTTTCGAGCCATGGGGGTGTTGTGGTAATGGCGCTCTTTACTATTGCAAGCGCACTTCGCGGGTCGAGCGGCACCCACTCAGGCCAAAGAGTTCCGAGTCCATCCACCCGGAACCGATTAATTGATCTTGAGACAGAAACCTTGCTCTCGCATGCCTCTGGCCTCGCAATTCATCTAACAGGCCAAATCCCATCAAAAAGCCACAGCGATTTTGAAGGGGCCTAATTAACAATGAATTTTCATGCTTAAATATTATGTTATCAAGCGTTCAAAGTATTCAAGGTGAAAAAAAACAATTTTCGGAGGAATACTAATAAAATTCTTTCACCAGGAATGCATATGTTTATCTAGAAAACGAAAAAAAATACATCAATATGATATAACTCGCTTTTTATCATGAGACAAAGGTACATATACAGGGGCACATCGACTGTTCCACTACGCCATTAAGCTTTAGGTGGGGCATCTGGATACGCCACGCATCGCCCTTAATTTCAGTATCGTTGGAGTCTTTGATGGTTCATTGGTCGAGGAAAAGCGGCTTGAATGGACGGTCAGTTTTTTCTAGCGTTTTCGACCTCGAAGGCAGGTTTTACAAGTAGTAGAACGATTGAAAGCTGAGCTTTCCTAGGTGTCCTAGAATCAACCCCATAGCCCAGATCGACTTTACTCCCCTGAACTGGGCAATCGTCATTACTAGACTCATGAAGAAAAATTTACCTTTTTTGCCCAACCCTTCCTTTCTAATGGCATGACAAAAGCGAGAATTACCTCAAGGAAAAACTCCATGGTCCAAATTACTCCGAGGAAAACTGCGGGATGCATCACTATAACTGGTAAAAAAAACAATACTGCTGTCGTACCTCACTATATGGAGTGCCACCTATGCGTCGTTCAAACGTTTCGATCGTGTGTGCCTCTTCGGATCCGATTTCCTATGTGACAGAGAATTCATTAGGGCCATTCAATAGACCTCAACCTGTTACTTACCTCAAAATGTCCTCCTTGATAAGGTCGCATCGCCATTAGCTCCACAATAATGCCACGACGATATGATGAGGTCGGAGTTCGAGGGAAATAGGTGGTTAACGAAAAATTCCGTGCAAACTTTTCATCTGTACCCTCCACCGTTGCGAACACACTGTTTCGTTCTCATTTCCTGAGTTCTCTCTCTATACACTTTCTCTTTCATTCATTGTTTGCTTACGATTCGTCTGTGAGAACAAACAGTCATAGTGTGTGGTGATGTTTGGTGAACTGGCTATGCATTCGAACACAACATTCGAACCACAGATTTACGAGCCTTAGCACAGTGCTTCGAGCATTTGTTTATATGGTTATTTAGGTTGATTTGCCTCACCGTACACTATGTGAAAGAAAGGAATAGTGCTAGAGCTAAAAAAGGCGTAATGAAGCAAGTGTTACTATTGCCCATAGCCGGTAGATGGAACATGGATCCACAAGGCTAGTTTGAGCAGGTTTACAAATGAGAGATAGAGAAATCGGCACTATTCAGCTATTACTACCCAAAAACTCAAGAAAGTTTTTGGTGAAACTTTGCCCATTCGTATTCGTGATCGGGTACCGATTACTTCCAATATGAAAAATTACACGGATTTTTGTGGGAGAAGTGTTGGCGTCTGCGCCAATTTGGCGCCACCATTTTTCTCACAAAAATCGGTGTAAACTTGCATACTTTGAGTATTCGGTACCCTGATCACGAACATGACATTTATTTTTAGCCATGGCGCCATTTGGCACTACACCCCTTTTTCACCAGAATTGATGAAAACTTGTAGAACAGGATTGTTTGATGCCCTGATCATGGATATGGTATTCATTTTTTTGACATAAGGTGACATTTAGCGTTCTTCTAAGGCTGAGCCTGGGAGGGGGAGTAATTCCCTTCAGGCCAGGCTTGGCCTTAGCTGAGCGCAGGTGATTCTAGTGTCCTCCAATAGCGCCAGCGTCAAAAATGTGGGCATATTCGTATTCAGGATGTCAGATAGCCCCGTATACACTTTTCAGAGGATTCGGTGATCTAGGGTATTTTCAAAGAAATTTGTGCGGGTGAAACTTTGCCCCATCGTCATATCGTGATCGGGTACGATTACTTCCAATATGACAAATTACGACGGATTTTGTGGGCGAGAGGTTGGCGTCGTGCGCCAATTTGGTCGCCCACCATCTTGGTCTCACCAAAAATCGGTGTAAACTTGCATCATCAGTTCTGCCGTAACAAAAAAGTAGTGGACACCTGAAATTTCTTGTCCGTGCAACATTGCCCCCTTCTTGAATTCTTTTGCGATATGGGACCTTTATATGTTGAATTCCTCATAAGCGAAAACATAGGAACTACACTTCTAAACACTTTTTAGACTACTGAACAATTATTTATTGTTTTGAAAAAGTTTCTTAATAACAAAAGTATGTGGACACTTGACAAAAAAACAAATGTAGCGTGGGAAATAGAAACTGGTTCTTCCTCCAGTGTTCACTACTACTTCGAACATTCTGTCTGGCATGCTGTGGACAAGATTTGTCATGGTGTCTTCGTCGATTTCCTCCCATGCAGCAACTATTGCCTCCTTCAAAGTCTCGCTGTTGTACTGCCCACTGTTCATGTAGATTCGTTCGAACCATGCTTCCCCACAGGATTTCGGTTGGGTTGCAGTCAGGACTACAGCCGGCCAATTGATCACTTTGATACATTGCGTTGGAGCCATTTTCTAGTAGAATTTGAAACATTGCCACGGCGGCCCTTGTCCTGCTGCATTCACATGGTCCTGCGGCCGTGGCCCGCCCCAGAAGAGGCAAGAGGTTATACTCAAGCACTCCTTGGTATTCCTCACTGTTCATACAACACGATGGGAAGGCAAGCTCCAACTTTCCTCTGCTTCCAAAACCACCCCGTACCATCAAAGAGGCGCCTCGAAATTTCGTCTCGAGAACACCAACGGATCGCTACAAAGGCCTTTCCAGTGATGCTGATATCCATTTGGACCGTCAAGATTGACTTTTTCTTATCAGTGAAGATAACTTAAGAAAGAAATGCGCATAAGATGTTGCCTTTCTGATTTTACAAATATCTCAAGAAACTGCACCTTGTCCCACTACGTCGCCATTTTTGCACGCGCAAAGTTCAGTCTTGCCAGCTGGTGCCTGGCAGTCAGACAGGGAGCTTTTCTTTATGGTTCTGAGATGGCTCACTTGATCGAATAGAGCCACATTGTCATTTTTGAGACCGGTAGATTCATCGCGGCATGGATCTGTGCCATAGAAAGCGGGGAGTTTGAGGTCATTCTTCTGATGTCTTTTGCGGACAAAGAGCGTGGGTGCCTCGAGACAGGCACTGAGTGGTAGCCATCAGGATTCTGGAGGTATATACCAACGCACGTCGCCGAAAGTTCCAAGTTATCTTGCAATTTCTCTATTCGAGTGTCCTGCAGCCCTGGAAGCTCGAATCGGCCTTATTCAGTCTTTGTAGTTTGAGGCTACCAGCGACGAGGATGAGTACAGGTTAATGGGGATTAGAGACCATAAAAATGGATTGTAGCTCTGGAGCCAAACTTTGGAATTCCTCAGGTGTCCACATACTTTTGTTATTAAGAAACTTTTTAAAAACAACAAATAATTGTACAGTAGTTCACAAAGTGCTCAGAAGTAGTGTATTCCTATGTTTTCGCTATGGAGAATTTCAAACAGTAAAGGCTATATTCGGCCAAAACTCAAAGGGCAATTTGCAGACAAAAATTTTGAGGTGTCCACATTACTTCTGTACGGCACTGAGTAACCAGTTCTGTGCCACGTTCAAATGCCACGCCTACTCTAACCCAGGGATAAGGAGTGTATTTTAGCGCCGGCGCCTAAGCGTGGGCGTCAGGCATTTTGGGCGGATGTGATTTTCGTATTTGGGAGATCAAATACTCCTGTGGAGAAGTTTTCAGCGAAATCGAATTCTGTGCTTTGGGCTTTTGGCGCCGGCGTCTGTGGCGCGGGTGCCGGGCAGCATCAGGCTAAGCGGATGTGATATTGGTGTTCAGGAGGTCGAACTATTGGTTGTTCGGAAAGAAATGCGCGCTGAAGCGCGTTGAATTTGTCCATTTATTTCTCTCCTACTATAGAAGATTTTTCAAAACAGTTTTGTCTATTAGAAAGAGATTTTTATTGTGCATCTTTTGATATATTTTTGTCTATGTCTACTTTGCTTTTTTTGAAGAAAAAAAGTTGGGAAGAGTGGGTGCCGCACCAGCTGAGCGACGCAAACAAGGCAACACGAGTGGCAATGGCCGGAATTCTTCTTCGTCGCTCCAAGAACAGCGTTACCTTCGATTCCAACTATTACAAATGGTCCTCCTTTTGCGGAACTCCTCTTGGATGTTCCTGACACTGACTAACTGCGAAAAGTCATTTATCAAAGATTTCCGTTTAACTTTTAGCGATTAGCGGATTGATATGGTCTCCTCTACCTATGAAGCCAGCCCACTACTGTATTTCCTCGAATTAGTTGAACTGACTGCAGATTAACAACTCTGAGTAAAACGCACAAATGATGTCGCAGTAAACTGTCGTATAAAAGAAACATATAATGTCGAATCCATTGATCCGTTCCTGTATTAAACCTTTTCACAGAAGTTGATGATACGATTTCTCGCCTGGATTCAATATTTTTTCCTGGATTACTCACTTGAAGCTTGACATGATCAGTCGCATCTTCACTGAAATCTATTTCTAATAACCTACTTCCTAGAACCGCATTTCCACATCACTCGACTTTGTAAAATTTGACTGTCTGTGGCATAACCTTAGAGATAATATACTAACATTGTGAAGCGATGTTTTTAAGGAATCATAGGCAGGCTCTCGCTCCACTTACAAATTTAAACGCAGATGCAACCAGCCAGAAGCAGGGTTTGGCATGCCCCCGATGCTTCGCAAATACTCCCGATTCAAGAAGCCTCATCGAACATGCTCGTAGGAGCATGGTTTCAAGGCGATATTGTAAACCAAGTATTCGATAACCATGTGGACTTCAAGGTTAACATGAAGTAATCAATGTAAGAATGTGACCTCTGGTACGGTCCACTTTATCTTACCATATTTATGAAGTATCACGTCGCTAATAATTCTCAGGCGAGCAAATGTTTATGGCGCATTATGGAGGTTCAGATGTGAGTTGGAACCTCATACAATCCAAGAAAATAAGTCCTATTCAATACCTAGATGTTGAAACATGCAGTGTGTGACATTTTAGAAGAGGAAGAACTCTACATGAAAATCAGAAGTCAACATGCAGCGTTTGATCCTTGGAAGGTGAATGAGGGAACTTTCATGAAAATTAGAAGTTGAAACATGCAGTGTTTGATATTTTGAAGGTGAATGAGTAGTTCACATATGTTCCTTTCTCCGTTCGCAGACCGTTCATGGAGTCACTTAGACATGAGATACAATCATAGACCACTCACGTAGCTATTCAATAAGAAGCGTACACGGATTTTACAGCCCCTGTCGTACGGAACCTCATGTCGGTTTTTTTCTGAGTTTTTAGGATTCTTCATGAGCTTAAACATTTCGAAGACGTAAATCTAGTGCGACAGGGTTAATGGGTACTTCAGAAGGGTGAAGTGCTGGCAAAGGAGGTGCGTGGTAGTTCACCTTAGTACTGAAGGCAAAGATGACGACGAAATATATCTTTATCTCTATGTGATAACAAGAATCCTAGAAACACCAATGCTAGAGCAAGTGAGTGGGTACAATAGGATTACTGTTCAACATCGGTGCATTTTAAGTATGTACAAGCTCCAGGAAATCAGTATTGTGTTGTAACACAGACATTCGTGATGTGGCGCCCTAAACGAGTTCGGGTGTGATCGCAATTTCCTTAAATTCGAGGATAAACTGATCGTTACGGTTAGCAACGTGGGTATAGAAGTGTCTGTGGGAAACTTCTGAGATTCCAGGAAACTAGAAGGAAGTCCTGTAAAATTCCCTGATCTGAAGTATGTTTCAGGGTTTCATAGCTCTCGATTGTATCATTTCCTCCAAATCAAGTGATGTTCTCATTCCTACGAATGTCTCGTGTATCGTGAACCTAATCGCGAAGATAACGCGCCCCAGCGCGACGCGACCGTTCGCCCCTCGCTGATGTGAAATGTTCGTAGAACGCACTTATTTGTCGCCAGCGGCTGGTCCCACGCGCGCGCAACTTTGAATTCAAACGCGCTGTGTGCATATGCACAACACTCTGAACACCGTAACCTCTCCTGGTTTATTATATACAAATCGGCGCTGCTGTCGTTCCTCTTCTATTATACACAACTAGCCGCTACTGTCGTTCGTCTCCTGATCTGCAACATACAACTTCGCTGCTGCTATCAACATTCTCTATTGTCTGCATCCTGTTTTGCTCCTGCATATTCCATCAGAACGGCGATTTCGTAGGTGAGTTTTCACATTTTCTGAATCCTAATATTTGTGAAGCGTTGTCATTTCCCGTGCTTTTATTTTTGGTCCCATTCTACATCACCTTTTTTGTACCTGTCTTGCATGCACTTTACATAACCCCTTCACGTTCTAGACTCTGTTATCTGCATTTCTCTTTTGCCCGTCATATTCCATCAGGGCGGTGGCGGCCACCTAGGTAAGTCACTCACATTTTCTTGAATCCTTCTTCTGCATGTTTTGCAACTTCAGCCTCTTTTTCTTAATTTCTAACATTTTGGCAATAATCATATTGTTATTTTTGTACTGCTTTTTTCTTTTCAGGAGCTAAGTCTCTGTCATCTGTAATTTTTTTATCCTTTCTCTCAGTATTTAATTAGACCTCTTTCTCATGAAACTGGATTCGCCCGCATCAATGTTCCGAGTCGTCCGTCCACCTCACCATCGCATCCTGTGCTGTGAACAGCGAGCAGCACACCCATTCCACCAGGTATTTTTCGTGATTTCCTCAGGTAGTCGCGAAGACATGCTACGCGAACCCTGTGGAAGTTCTCGAGAAGCTTGGAAATGTGGCTGGCCCAAGCATGAGATCTTGCCAATCTTACAGTACACTGTTTCGTAATCCGTTGCTCTCTTACACTATTTCGTAATCTAAAGCTCTATCTGTAGCTTCCCACCCTCTCATATCATTCTTATTCTTCTGAGTACGTTTCTACTTCACACTTGCTCACGGCGCTGATATTATTCAAAATGTCTTCACCAAGTTATTATACCTGCTCATTATGCAAAAAAGTCATGCTGAAGAAAAACTTGTACACTCACCTCAAGGTTGTACACAAGAAACTTGCGGAGGAAGTGCTGGAAATCCGCGAAGAGATTGCCAGGGAAAGCGGGGCAGCTAAGGTAACTTGCCCTCTATGCCATGAAACTTTTACCTCTCATGAAGGGCTCGCACTACACTGTGAAAGAACTCACTCCGAGGACGGTGCTTGCGGACGACCCCAGAATTATTCCGCTATTTCAAAAAGCTTTGAAAGTCGTGAAGAATACGAGGTTTGTTGCTGTAACTATTACTTTGAGGAGAGTTATAAATGGTGTTTTTTTAGCAATGGTTCACGAGAATTTGTCAGGAAACATGCACGACGTTTTCTAAAGAGCATAAAGAAACTTCGGCTTCTTCGATTAAACAAAGATTCCTGTGAGTTCCAGCCAATATAAAGGAATTAATAATGAAATGTATACATTTCCGAATCAGGTGCAATCGAGCGGGTAAGTATGAATCGACTGCAAAGCAGAGAACTACCGCTAGTAGAAAAGATGTCCACTACTGCTCTTGTCATTTGGTGGTGTACTTTAACGCAGATGGGACGGTAGTAGTGAAAGGCTGTCTTGGCCATGTTGGACACGAGCTGGATCCGGCTTTGCTGAAACTTTCACACCATCAAATTATGTACTTGAAAAAGCTGCTCGAAGGTACCTAATATGTCTTAACGTATCCTTTTATTGACCATCTAATGCCGTTTTATCCAGAGCACTCCATGGAATATATTATACGCCGTATTCGCAAGGAAGACCCGACTAAATCCACTAAGCTGTCATTTGTTGTAAAGATGGATCTTTACAATATTGTGAAGAAATACCATATGGCGCCAGGCTGGAGGCATGACGACGATCTGACTTCTTTGCTACTTCGCTTTGAAGAGAAGAACCCCGATGACGGAATAAGGCGTTTTGATCAACCCAAAGATCCGAGTGGTAAAGGCCTCCTACTGGGTAAGCTTAGTTTCTGATAGTTGAATAGCGCCAAAATTTTGAGGTCTTCAAGAAGTATAAAATTTAGTCATAATAACCCCACTAATGCTGGAGTGGTTGACAAAATATTCGGCAAAAGGCGTTTCATTGGACGACACGTTTCATACCACACGGTACAACTTAAGATTGGCCACTCTCATGGTGACAGATGATAAAGATCGTGGCCTTCCAGGAGGTACTTCTTACTTTTATTTGCGCATGAAAACCATCTCCATGAATCGAAGTTTAGCTTTTCTTCTCAGTGGGACTATGACAACTGCGGATGTCCAAAGTTTTTCATGGAAGTGAAAAGTCTGCTCCCCAGTTTTTGTCCAACCTTAGTGACAGATGAAGCACCTTGCTTCTACAACGGTTTCCGTGCTGTTTTCCCAGATGCGCCTACCCGACTTCACTTCTGCAGGTTCCACATTTGGCAGACATGGGAAAGGAAAATCAAAAGAGCTTTGTTGGAGGTCAGAACGACTACGGATTCTATGTTTGAAGGAAAAACAGGACCACGTTTCAGGCTACACTACGTCCAGCGGTGAACAGCGCGCTTCAAAAACTGCTTCAAGAAGTGGACCTAGACAAATTTCAGAGGCGTTTTGCCGAAATTTTGGTCTACCTACGCAGCAAAAATCAGGATTCCATGGCAGATTACCTCAGGAAAAACTATCTCGGTACTAGCAGTAGATATTGCGGTACAAGATTTCGTTAATTTTTATGTGTTGTCTACCAGGAAGAACGCCGAGCTGGGCCTCATTCGCGCATCAAGGTGCCATTCTTGACACTACAATGATTAGCGAGCGGTTCCACTTGAGAATCAAAGATGAGTTCCTCCACCGAAACGCAAACTCGCGCCTCGACAGCTTCGTCGACCTTCTAATAAAGTCCGTTGAGGATCTATCGGACTCACTAGAAGTAAAGGTAAAAATAAAGTTGAAAGACGCGAGCATGGGAATATCTTATCCGACCATCCTTCCATTGCAGGACCGCCGTCGTTTCGCCAAATCTGCGTACAGGTTGCAAGAAAATCACAAACGGCACAGGACTGCAATCGCCATATACGAAGCAAACCCTAACTTAGTCGTCAGTATAGAAGACAACAAGTGGCAAGTCTATAACAAGGAATCGACGAAAAGCTCCGAAGTAACATATGAAGGGCCATGCACATGTGACAGCACGGTAATTACACAATCATAATTACTATTTTTTATTCTGCTGTTTTTATCGATGTGACTGTTATCATATGTACTTAGAAAAACACGCATTGTCTCAACTGCGGAGTATGTGCTTACGCCTGGAGCTGCACTTGTCTGGATAACAGAAGTGGAATCTGCTGTGCTCACAGACATGCTGTGAGGATACTGAACCCGGACAGGCTACCAGTGGAAACATTAGCCACAACATCACAAGTAACAGTATCTTCATCGTCAGAAGTTGACTTGGGTGAACCCATAACCCCAGCACAAGAGCGTCGTGAAGCACGCTACCAGAAATTGGGGGCTATCAGAAGTGTGAGTATTGGCTAGATGAAGGTAAAGTGAGAAAAAAAATATAAAAAAGTTTCAAAAAAAATTTCTAGGCATATGCTGTGATAGATGGCGCTGCTACAGTACTGGCTAAAGATGACACAGATGAAGCAATGCAACACTTGGAAGAGATCCTCTGCTATATGCAACTCGCAGCAAAAGTTGCACAACCTTCACCATCAAGCTCCTTAGCCGCTCGGCCCGAGATGACTCAAAGTGGAGGTAAACCGCAACTAACCAAAATGCAACTCTACCAGGTGAATCCGCTTTACACTGACAATGCTTGTAGAGTCAAAGTTGCTTGCTTTGTGAACTAACTGACTCCAAAACTTTTCAGCGTGGGAAGGGAAAGAAGTCGAAGGAACCGACGCAAGACCTTCACGAAGAGCTCAGACAATTGAGAGGATTGGAAGGCGACGCGAATGGAGACCGATTTCATTGACAGTATCACGGTGTTATTGTCCCTTTGCAAATGATTTACTGTTATGACTATTTTTGCCTGTTCATCCATCCTTGATGTGAGGTAATTCTGTCAGTTTTTACATAATAAACTATTATTTCGAAGAGAACTCCCTCATCCAATGCGAGTTATGAACCTAGGAAATGTACAAGACATAGGAGTAAGGCAGCGTTCAGACTTGTAGCGCTACGTCGCGCTACAGTGCAGCGCTACAATGGTACCGTGGTCCAGCTTCCCTTCTTGTTCTTTTTTTTCTGAATTCAATCCCTTCTCTTCATTGTGGTCCTGAGCCCCTCTTTCTTTTCATGGAAAGGGTGTCTAGGTGGGGAGGGTTATTGAGGGCGGTGATCACGAATATGATATCGTGAGCAGCGGGAGTATATTATATTGGTTTGTTTCACTGCGCCATCTGGCGCCAGATGGCGCCAGTGACACAAACCAATATAATACTCGTGATCACGACCCTCGGCAACCCCCCACACCCCATCCCCCTCCCTGAAAAGGAAGAGGGGCTCAGGAACACATAAAATGAGAAATGAAGGGAAAGGGATTGAATTCAGAAAAAAAAACAAAAATGGAAGCTGGACTTCGGTACAGTAGCGCTACAGCTGTAGCGCGGCGTAGCGCTAAAAGTCTGAACGCTGCCTAAAGAAGTTTTGCTCAACACCTCAGGTCATCTCGTGGTTTTCCGAAGGGTTCGCGTAACAGCATTCACCGCGAATATCTCGGAAGCCATGACAGAAACCTGATGATTCTCTACGCCACAAAGCAATGGTAATGTGAAGGGGATATATAAAGTGCATGCAAGACAGGTTCAAGAAAGGGTAATGTAGAATGGGATCGAAAATGAAAGCACGGAGAAAATGGCGACGCATTCACAAATATTAGAATTCAGGAAATGTGAAAACTCACCTATGAGATCGCCGTTCTGATGGAACATGCAGGGGCAAAAAGAATGTAGTCAAAAGAGAATGTTAGAAAAACTGATATAATCAACTTGTGTGGATTCCAGCATGTGACACCGTGTCTCTGGAGCAGCGCGCTTACCCACTATAAGAGAAAATAAGGTTATCCATTCAGTACATAGTTTATTCGTTCGTTCGTATAATATTAGGTTGTCCGGAAAGTTCTCTCAGCGTTTTGTGCACTATTTTTGTACATTCACTGCTGATTAAAAACTCATTCTGCCTTGCTTCTCAGTAGCATCCTGTAGAGAATTTCTTGCGCTATCTGATGGTATAATTGCCGTTTCACCATTGCTTGATAAACCCCTTTTTTCAAGATTTTTTCAAGCATGTGAAAAGAGCACTTCGGACGATTTTTTTCTTCGACTATAAATTGGGGCAATCCGCAATCGAAACAGCTCAACAAATTAACCAGGTGTGGGGCCCAGTAGTGCTAGAGAAAGCACTGTGCGGCAATGGCTCAACAAATTTCGTTCTGGAGATTTCAGCCTTGAAGATGAACCTCATAGCGGTCGACCTAAAGCAATATCTGACGAGGATTTTAGGGGGATTTTGGAGGCTGACCCATCCCAAACAGTTCGAGAGATAGCAGAAGAGCTAGGCCTTGGCAAATCCACTGTTGCAGATGGTCTGGAACGCATTGGGAAGGTGAAAAAACTCGACAATTGGGTGCCCCACAATCGGAGTGACCGGCAGGAATCGGCACGTCTCGAGGTTCCTTCTGCATTGCTTTTGCGCAGCAGAAACGACCTGTTTTGAATTGTCACCTGTGATGAAAAATGGGTCATGTATGATAACAGGAGACGTTCCGGACAGTGGTTGGATTTCGACGAACCACCGAGGTAATTTTCAAAGCCGAACCCTCACGAAAAAAAGATTCTGGTCACGGCTTGGTGGTCATCGGCTGGTGTGATCCACTATAACTTTTTATCACCAGGCCAAACCATCACAGCAGAACCCTACTGTGAAGAAATCGACGAATTGTACCGAAAATTTTGTCAGATGCAGCCAACACTTATCAAAAGAAAATTGAACGAATTGGGGGTTGAAGTTCTACCTCAACCGCCATATTCTTCAGACCTTTCGCCAACCGACTATCACCTTTTCTAACATTTTCAGAACTCCCTTGCTGGAAAATACTTCATCAATCAGGACCAGGCAAAAAAGCCTTAGTGGATTTCGTGAATTTTCGACCACCCAGTTTTTTATTTTTGATGGGATTTCTCGACTGCTGTCACATTGGCAAAAGTGTGCTGATTCGAATGGTGCCTATTTCGATTAAATCCGATGAGTATTAAAAAAGTTACGATCGTTTAAAGTGAAACACCCAAAACGCTGAGAACTTTCCGGACAACCTAATAATAGACCAGGAGAGATTACGGTGTTCAGAGTGTTGTGCACATGCACACAGCGCGTTTGAATTCAAAGTTGCGCGCGCGTGGGACCAGCCGCTGGCGACAAATAAGTGCGTTCATGCGCGTTTGAATTCAAATTTGCGCGCGCGTGGGACCAGCCGCTGGCGACAAATAAGTGCGTTCATGTTCGTATGGCATTTAAGTTCTTCTCTCACTACCTTTGCCTTTGGATCTACTCTTCCAGTACATGTTAACGTGTCTGCGATCATTGAAGTACATCAAAGTGGCTATCTTGAACATCTCTGCTGACTGGTACTCTAATTGCCGAGTGGGATTTTATCACAGTTTAATATATCATCATAACACACACAGATAGGCACCTTATATCTTTTTCTGAATCTCAGGAAGGCTTCGTTCATACTACTGTTGTGATACAAATGAAAGCGCTAGTTATATTCACTCGGCCATTTTGTAATTTCTTGCAAGTGTCCTATTTTGCAACTACTTGAAATTCTATCAAGATTACGAAGCAGCTTAGCGACTACGACTGCCCAATACAAAAACTACTTTTGCTCCCAAGAGCTGGTTGTCCTCCTGCACCTGCCTCTTTAGGACTAGACAAAACTCCTACGTCTAGAAACATTGACGACAACTAAGGTTCAAAAAAAAGCTGGGAGGTTCTTAGTGCCTACTATGTGATTCATGCTTTCATGGGAGAGATACTTACAGAATCAGACCATTGACAGCAAAGATTTCCAACTTCGATGACCGCAGCTAAATATCGGGGATTTCCGAGTAGTTTCAAGGGAAATTTTGTCTTTCAGTCTGATGAAGTGCAGCGCGCGAATACTCTCTAAAGCAAGAGCATGAAGTGCTGATAGATCGAGCGCAATGCAGAAGGCATTATTTCACATCGTCAGCCGTCATTAAAATTCGCTGGAAAATATACAAGCAACACGTTATCATGGCCTTCTTTTTCACCTTTACCATTCTGGCTGCTCCATCCATTGAAACGAAAATGAGCCAATTTTGTCCGTGGCAGTTTTTTTTTTCTTATGGAAGTTTGGCTCAGACGAAACACTCCGATGTTCGCGTCTCCGCTATTCCAGAGCAAAGGCTTTTTAGCTTCCGTGGAAGGTCATAGTATATGCGCAAAAATAAGCCAAGTGAGAATGACGAGATATACAAACTGTACTGGTTCTTCTCTCCCATTATTGCTTTATCGAGTGAGCTGATTGAAGTTGCCAAAATCTCCCGAATACTACTACGTTAGTAGAACAGGAGTCGGTCTGCAGCGTACGGGGTACTTCGCCGCAAGCACATAAACGCATTTAAACCTTGGGAAGTACTTGCGCCGTCAAATAAATTGTGCACACCATACATGCAATCCTACGCGCAAACGTTTAAATCTGTCGGGTGCATGGGGTGTATATCGGATGGCGTGGCTGGCACCTGTTATACCGTAAGGCCGCGTTCATACATGATGCAGAAATGCCGAACCACGGAATGTGCAGAACTGCGGAATTTGCAGACGTGTGGAATCTGCAGAACCGCGGAACTTGCAGAAAAAGAAAATATGTCTATCGATTTCAAAAACCGTGGAATATGCAGAAGTGCGGAATTTGCAGAAATGCCGATGGACCGATCGATCCCTATCGCTTCTTTGTCCGTAATTTCTGCATTCTGCAAATTCCGCGGAATTTGCCGTCGTGCGGAATCTGCAGAATCTGCAGATTCTGCATTTCTCCCAATTCCGCACGACGGCAGGGAAAGAACCAGTCGATCCCTATCAATTCTTTGTCCGTCATTTCTGCATGTCGGCAAATTCCGCGGAATTTGAAGAAATGCAGTTTTCAGATCGATACGTATATATTTCCTTTCTGCAAATTCCGCAGTTCTGCATATTCCGCATTTCTGCATCATGTATGAACGCGGCCTAACTAGGACGCTGCTGGCCGTAATTGCCACCTCCACCGAGCCTCTGTAGCCGTCCTCTTGATCGGACAACTCGTCCACGCTACTTATCACCTTGACACTCGTAATTGATTGACCAACACTGGCAAGACGCCAGCACTTGCGAACTGTTGACTTAGCTACGCATACTTCGAGCTAATTTTCGACTTCTTTCGCCAAACCCTCTGTTGCGAACCCGAACTATTCCGTTACCATTTATTTGGACAACAGCTTGTTTCTCTGATATTATTTTGTCCAGCTTTGACTGATGATTATCGACTAGTATTCTTCATTGCATTTCTGTACAACTGTGGCGATACTAATACAGCGGTAAGTTTTGTACATTGCTTAAAAACTTAGTTTCCATGCTGTTTGCTTGCTGGAAGAGCATAGTTTCATGACCATTAGGATCATGACACATTCTTCTTCTCAGTTTGCTCACATCTTATTTTTTTCCTTGTTAAGGCTTAATTTTAAGAGCTCCTAACAAATTCTAACACAATACCCTTTACTGCTCCATCTTCCAAATATACCAGTTTTTGAACGACTTGTGCGTAGGCAAACTTGGCTAAAAATTTGTACCCTTAGGTAGTTTGACCTCCTCGAACATGAATATCACATCCGCTCAACGCAAAAGCTCCTGACGCTCATGCCACAGGCGCTGACGCCAAAATACCCCAAATCACCGGCGCCTGTGGCGCGGGCGCCA